CTACACAGTATCGATTTTTTTCCCCACCCCTACTGAAAATGAAGCACGGACAAAAGAAGATTAAATGTTACTGGCTACATTTCTTTGAAACGGGGTGTTGGCCTTGACCTTTTTAAAAAACGAATTAATACTGGAGGTGATTTAAAGTAGTAGAATGACTAAAACAGTAGTTCACGCTCTCAGCTGCATACACAAACTGCTTTAAATGAATTCATATTTTGTTGCGACCCCCGCTGAGACGTTTCTCCACACTGTCAGACAGATTCAGTCTAAATTACTGTGCGTTTGTCTTCTCATCACATTTCTCCTGTGCTCCTCTGTCCTCTCTTCTATCTGAAATTGCCCCTCTCTCTCTAAAAACCCAATCTCTGCTCCTATTTGAATTTCATTTACAAAGGGAAAACCGGTCGGGACATTTTAAATGTGCTCTGCTGTCTGCTGTCAAGGTGAGGCCGAGGGTCTCTTCCCTGCAGACTTCTCCCCCCCCCGCCTGTCTGGATCGGCTCCAACACTGCATATTCATGAGGAGGACTAATTTGACAATTAGAGATGATGGGGCACTCGTCCTTGCTTATGCACTTCATTATAAGATCTTTGTAGATTTAATAGCGTCGCAGTTGCTTCCTGTGTTTTTACTTCAGTTTCAACAAGTGTGTTTATGACTGGAAGCCTTAGTTTACTCAGGTTTATTTGGCAGAAACTTGTTAAATACGTAATTTTTTCATTGTTCCAGAAAAATAAAAGCTTGTCTGGTGTAATTTTGCTGCTCAGCTCAAACAGCGAGTTTTGCCTTGAAGAACATGGCGGTGATTGTGATGTGCAAATTGCAGCAATCAGCGCTGTGATCATGTTTATGACAGTGACATGAAAAAGCTGTTCTTGTTTTTTTTAATGTTCTTTAGTCTGAAAAAGGAACTCTTTCAGTTGCACGCTAGGATACCTCATGTTTGTAGACTGTGTCCACGCTGAGCCAGCTAAATCTGAAACAGCAGCGTGAAAATAAAGCAAGATTTTACACTTTAAGCTTTAAGTCTCCATTTACACAAAACACCTGACAGGAAACACGAGGGGTGCCCGGGCCACAGTGATCAGGCATTGTGAGAATAAATCAGATTCATAATGTTTGCAGCGATTCAGTTTTTCTGTTCAATTGTTTAAATATAGCACC